TGTGTCTGTCTCTGTGTTTCTGTGTCTGTCTCTGTGTTTCGTGTCTGTGTCTCTGTCTGTCTGTCTCTCTGTGTCTCTGTCTGTCTGTCTCTCTGTGTCCCTGTCTGTCTCTCTGTGACTCTGTGTGTCTGTCTCTGCGTTTCTGTGTCTGTCTCGGTTTCTGTCTCTGTGTCTGTTTCTGTGTCTGTCTCTGTGTTTCTGTCTCTATCTCTCTCTGTCTGTCTCTGTGTCTGTCTCTGTGTCTGTCTCTGTGTCTGTCTGTCTGTCTCTCTGTGACTCTGTGTTTCTGTCTCTGTGTTTCTGTTTCTGTCTCTGTGTCTGTCTCTCTGTGTTTGTCTGTGTCTCTGTGTCTGTCTCTGTGTTTCTGTCTCTGTCTCTGTGTCTGTCTCTCTGTGTCTGTCTCTGTGTTTCTGTCTCTGTCTCTCTGTGTGTTTCTGTGTCTGTCTCTCTGTGTCTCTCTGTCTGTCTCTGTGTTTCTGTCTCTGTCTCTCTGTGTCTGTCTCTCTGTGTCTGTCTCTCTGTGTCTGTCTCTCAGTAGTGGATCCGTGCAGGTTTGTTCTGTAAGAGCCGTCCTGGATGGACCAGTCGCCATGAGCAACAGGAAGATGGTTTCCACGGAGACAGGTCAGTGTTGGCACCTGCTGTGTTGCCATGGAAACCACTTGTTGTTGAACATCAACATCACAAATATCAAGTTTTGGAGGTTTGTGGTTTGGAATGTATCCTGCTGTAGGGCCCATAAGCAAGACCTCCCTAATGGAGTCTGCAGGGTTTGAAACCGGCTCGATCTTCAAGATGAAATCTGAAAATATATTTCTGTTAATCTGGATTATTTAAATCTTTGATTAAATATTTTGTTAATCATCTGGCTTATCTTCATATTTCTGGTCAAGCTTCCTGTTAGTCTGGATTATCTACGTCTGCTCAAACATCCTGTTAATCTGGATTATCTACATCTTTCCTGTCAAACGTTTTGTTAATCTGGATTATCTACATCTTTCCTGTCAAACGTCTTGTTAATCTGGATTATCTTCATTTGTTAATCCAAATAGGTTCTAACTTTGGTTCAATCTCTGATCCAGAACTGAAAGCTGTTCATTAATGAAGCAGATTGATGAAAACATCTGAGCTGTTTTAATCCATATTAAGCTTGGTCCAACTGGTTCTGAGACCCTCCATCAGAACCAGTTGGACCAGTGCCGTCTGCTCGCTCTGACCCTTTCCAAACTGTGTGCAGAGAATAAAGGACAGAGGAAGGTGTTTGTGGCCAACCAGCTGCTGGAGTGTCTGCCTCGCGCCACCTGTCTGCCCAACGAGCGTCTGAGGTGGAACACTAACGAGGTGAGTTAACGAGGAACACTAAAGGCCTCGTTATCCTTCACAGCACTTTGAGCTGTGGAGCTCGCTCAGGTGACTGTGGACGGTCTTTTTCTCACCAACATTTCATACTGAGAGCATCCACAGGTAGAATCCTAATAAGCTCCTCCCACTGCAGCATGTCAGTCAGACAGCAGGTCGTCCGTCTCTGTTCAGGTGACGGACGATGATCTGGTGTTTCTTATTTTAAACGAGGAGAAGCGTGATTTTCTACATCAGTCAAGAGAAACCGTTTGATGAAACGTGTCCGCTGCTGCCAGGGGGCGGAGCATTCTCACCTCAGCCATGGAAGGCTGCTGGTTCTCCGCCCTGAGATCAATAATGTGTTCAGAGTCCAGTTCTGTGTTCAGACAGCAGAGCAGACATCATGATGGAAACAAACGCTGCACAGAATAAAACTCTGACGTCTGTTTGGAGACCAGCTCATGTTGGAAGAAGAGCAAATTAGAAGGTTTCAAAAGACTCTGCCAGAAATATATTATTTAAAATAGATATAAAACTCAGTGGAGCAGAAATAAAAAGCATCATGAAGCAACAAATGATGGAAAGATGGTTGGAGGAAGAAAGAAAAGGTCCATGGTTTGATAGAATTTAAGTAAAAACAGGACAAATGAGAAAGAAACAGGAAACGGACATCTGACTTCTAAGATTAGGACACACGGGATTAAACAGAACTTTATCCAGAACAAGAAACCTCAGGTAAATGTGAACACTGTGGAGAACATGAGAACATAGAACATGTTATTATAAGACATGAAAGAAGAAACAACATGCCCACAAACGTCTGACCAATCACATGTACTTAAACAAACACGCCCACAAATGTCTGACCACGCCCACCAATTTCTGAACAGTCACATGTACTTAAACAAACACGCCCACAAACCTTTGTCTGACTAATCACACTGCTCGCTGCGGACCCTTTAAGAAACGAGTTCTGATGGGTTTGTGCACAGCACTTAGTCTGAGCAGGATAAATTCAGTGCTCCTCGTGGACGATGAATCTGCCTTAACGAGGTTAGTGTTGTTAACGAGTTTAGTGTTTACAAGACGAGGGTATTGCTAACAAGATGATGTTAGAGTTAATGAGACGAGGTTAGTGCTAACGAGATGAGGTTAGTG